GATCTTCGGGATGGGGGGAGAGGGGGGTGAGGTGGCGGGTGCTGTGCGGTGACGGCGGTGCCCGCAGGGCTCGAAGCAGGCGGCGCAGGCGGCGGCGCAGGAGCTGGTGAAGTTCGTCAACCGGAGCCCTTCGCCCTATCACGGTGAGGAACCGCCCGGCTCCTTCCCCTTCCTCTCCGCTCGGTGCGGGCCACCACCACCCCCCCTCGACGGCTCTTTTTCTCCCCCCTCCCCGCAGTGGTGGCCGAATGCCGCAGCCGGCTGCTCCAAGCTGGTTTCCAGGAGCTGAAGGAGACGGAGCACTGGGAGGTGCGGCCGGCGCAGAAGGTGGGCCCCGAGGGGGCGGGCAGGGTGCGTGTGCGGGGGGGGCTCGGCCCGGCTGACGCTCACCCCTGCCCCTCTCTGCCCCCAGTACTTCATCACCAGGAACTACTCCACCCTCATCGCCTTCGCCGTCGGCGGCCGGTTCAAGCCCGGCAATGGGTTCAGCCTGCTGGGGGCCCACACCGACAGCCCCTGCCTCAGGGTAAGGACTCCCCAGCCGGGTGCCTTCCCCTCCAGCTTTGCTTCACAAGCTCCAGGGAGCCCATCCTAACCCCCCCCCTTGCCCCCTACAGCACCCTTCTTCCGTCCCTCCACCTCCCAGACCACCACCCGTGCTGACCACCCTGCCACCCAGAGCAGCCCGTGCTGACCCCCTGTGTAGCTGTTGTCCCCTCTGTGTCCCCTGTCCCACCAAGCACCTCGCAGCGCCCTGCGCTGGAAGGGACAGCAATGGGACTGGGCTGGGTGTGCTCTGCCCAGTCCCCACCAGTTACTGGGTCCCCACCAGTTACTGGGTCCTGGGGCTCTGTGGTGACACCTCCACTCTGCCCAGTCCCCACCAGTTACCCAGTCCCTGGGGCTCTGCAGTGACACCTCCACTCTGCCCAGTCCCCACCAGTTACTGGGTCCTGGGGCTCTGCAGTGTGCAGTGACACTTCCGCTCTGCCCAGACCCCACCAGTTACCCAGTCCCCACCAGTTACTGGGTCCCTGGGGCTCTGCAGTGACACCTCTGCTCTCGCCCAGGTGAAGCGTCGCTCTAGGCGGGGCCAGGTGGGCATGGTGCAGGTTGGTGTGGAGACCTACGGAGGGGGCATCTGGAATACCTGGTTCGACCGTGACCTCACCGTGGCCGGGAGGGTGATCATCAAGGTGAGCCTGATGTGGGACAGGCCCGGGGGGCTAGCTGTGTGCCCCCAGTGCCGAGTCTGTGACTCCCACCCGGGGTAATCCTCCTTGTGTTTCAGGACCCGGCCACGGGGCGCCTGGAGCAGCGCCTGGTACGTGTGGAGCGGCCCGTCCTCCGCATTCCCCACCTGGCCATCCATCTGCAGCGCAGCATCAATGAGAGCTTCGGGCCCAACACTGAGCACCACCTGTAAGGCCTGGCTCGGCCCTGACCCCCGGCCAGCCCTCGGGAGGGCTGGGACCCAGCTGGAGCGGTGCCCAGCCTCAGCTCTCTCCCTTTGGCCAGCCCCTCAGCACAGTGGGGAGGTCTGCAATGGCTTTTCTTAGCCCCACAGAGTCCTCCCAGAAGCTGCTTCCAAGCTTGGAGCTTGGGAAAGGACACTGGGGTGTTCTGAGGTGGCACAAAAGATCTGTGCTTGAAATATTGTGTGTCCTTGCTCTATGCGGCATGGCAGGCGCTCCCTGGAGGAGCAAGGCGGGCGCCCCAGGAAGGGATGGTTGTGTGTGACACCAAGCAGGAGAGGTGAGCAAAGCCCCGGGAGCTAACAGCGCCGTCTTCCCACAGGGTTCCCATTCTGGCCACTGCTGTGCAGGAGGAGCTGGAAAGGGAGGTGCTCATGGAGCCCACACCTTGCGGTGCTACAGCCCAGGTGAGCTGTGTGGCAGGGTCTAGCAGGGGCACTTGTAGGACCCTCACACTTGTCACCTTTGATTTCCAATCCTCTGGGACCTGCCAGCAGGTTTCCCTTCTCCCCCTGGACTGCTGGTGCCCTTCCACCCTGCCCCAGAGCTGTGTGTATGACACATCTGCTCAGCCATCTCTCTGTGCCCACCCTGGTCTGAAGCCATCGTGTAGAAGGGGGTGCAGCCCCCGCAAAGCTGTCAGTCTCCCCAGAGCAGGGAAGGGAGGATTGCACAGGGGGCAGAGAGCCCCCTCACTGTGCCCTACGAGTGGCCCTGCTGTCCTGTGTGAGGTGGGGGCTCGGAACACAGGACGTGTTAGTAGCGGGAATGACCGTGCCAACGTGAGTGGGGTGTGGGACGGCTGTGCTGGGGGGCGCAGGGAGTTTCTCCTGCCACCCACTGCCTGCCCTGCCCACAGCTCCGCTTTCTTTCCAGGCGGAGCGGCACAGTCCTGTCCTGCTTTCCCTCCTTTGCCCCCAGCTGGGGGTGAAACCGGAGCAGATTGTGGAGCTGGAACTGTGCCTGGCGGATACGCAGCCAGCGGTGAGTCTGGGCGGGAGCCTCCCTCTGCCTGCACACAGCCTGGGGGCTGGCAGTGCACGGGTTCTACCTGGCACCTTTCCTCTGCCTGGGGCATGCCAGGGCTCGCAGCTGGGTGGAATGAGAGGAGGCAGCTCCCGAGGAGCAGATTTTGAGGGAACTGGGATGGGCACTCAGTGTCGGGTACTTTTTGGTGACCCAAAACCTGTGCCCTGGCTCTCTACCTGCAGACGCTGGGTGGTGCCTACGATGAGTTCATCTTCTCTCCGCGCCTGGACAACCTGCACAGCTGCTACTGTGCCCTGCAGGTGAGCTGGAGGGGGGGAAGGAGCCTGGGGTCACAGCATAGCCCCTGTGAGCCCCAGCCTGGCTCAGCAGCGCTGGGTTCCTACAGGATTGGTCTGGGGTTGGATGGGGGGCTGGGTGTGTGGGGCTCCCAGCAGCTCCCAGGGGTGACGACTCCTCTTCCTGGGCAATGTGTGTGCCTACAGCTTCCTTCCTCAGTGCTTTGGGCTCTCCTGGGGAAATTCCTGCTGGGAATGGCACTCAAGCTGGTGTCCTTTCTCCTCTAACCCCGCAGGCCTTAATTGACTCGTGCGCGGCTCCCTCCTCCCTCTCTCAGGAGCCCAACGTTCGTCTCATCGCTCTCTACGACAACGAGGAGGTGAGGGAAGGGCACAGCTGTGGGGTGGCTGGCACATGGCAGGGGGAGGACTCCATGTTCTTTGCTCTCCCCCAGCTGCACCTAACAAGAGATACATCCCAGGCCCCATGGGGGCAAGGTGGGATTTGCTCCCCACACTGTGGAGCATCGTCCAGGCAGGGGGTGGGAAGCCACTGGTGTGGTTGGAAGCTACTCTGCTGGCTTTGGGCAGCTCCCTGTCTCTCTCAGCTGGGCCCTGGGGTGCCAGGGGATTGCAGCACGTGGGTGGTGCTGATGGTGGTCCCTGGCAGGTAGGATCAGAGAGCGCGCAGGGCGCAGAGTCCTTGCTGACGGAGCTGGTGCTGCGCCGGATCTCAGCATCGCCGCAAAACTTGACAGCCTTTGAGGAGGCCGTGGCCAAGTCCTACATGATCAGCGCCGATATGGCCCACGCTGTGCACCCAAACTACGTGTGAGTAGTCCAAGGAGTGCCACAGCCCCGCCGGCTCGGGGGATGCATCCCTGTTGTTCCCCAGGGAGCACAGACAGGACAGTCCTGGTTGTGAGGGGGGAGGGGGGCGGGCTGCAGCATGAAACTCCGGCTTCTCTTTCACAGGGACAAGCATGAGGAGAACCATCGTCCAGCCTTCCACAAGGTGAGGGCAGCCCTCTGCTTTGGGCTGGGATGGGTATTGTCTGTCTGTCTGTCTGCCCTGCAGCGCTGTGAGACGCCTGGCTGCTCCCTGGAGCACCCTCCTGGGGTTTGACTCAACGGCACTCAAGTGGGAGACGTTTGTCCCACAGCACAATTTGGCCGTGCCACACATCTGGTGTTAATCACTTGGGACTACAGCCTGGAGGCCTCCCCTGCCCTGAGCTGTGGGGCTGTCCCCATGGCAGGACTGTCCCCGTCCCCACAAGATCACTCAGGGAGGGGAGAATGGGCTGGTGGGTTGGGGTGAGGTGGGAGAGCGTTGCCTGGGCACGGCTGTTTCCAGAGCCACCGACTGTCCCGGGTGCCTTCCCTCGTGCAGGGCCCCGTCATCAAAGTGAACAGCAACCAGCGCTACGCCTCCACGGCTGTCACCGAGGCAGTCATCCGGGACATCGCCGCCCGCGTGGGTGTCCCTCTGCAGGTGAGCGGAGCTGGGCAAGCCCTCCATGAATGTTACGAGCCTGGGGGCAGCAGCTGTGTTTGGGAGAGGGGGCCCACGCCAGACCCCCACCCCTCAGTTATCACATCCAGCCTCTTTGAGGTCTGCACTGGCTGCTGCTCCGGGGCTCTGGCTCTGGGGAGTGGGCTGGGGAGCAGGAGGGGAGGGCTTGGCCTGAGCGCATCCCGTGTCTGGGGGGAATTTTGCACCCTGGGTTGGGGACAGTGCTGCCTCCCTGTCCCAGGTGGCCTCCCTTCAGGCCGGTGGGGCAACGTGGTGAGGTGCTGAGGCCCTGTCCCCGTGCAGGAGTTCATGGTGCGCAACGACACGCCGTGCGGTACCACCATCGGCCCCATCCTGGCCTCCCGCCTGGGGCTGCGGGTGCTGGACATCGGGTGCCCGCAGCTGGCCATGCACTCCATCCGGGAGATGTGCTGCACCTCGGGGGTGCTCCAGAGCATCACCCTCTTCAAGGTGAGCCCCGTGTCCCCCCTGCCCCACGCCAAAGCCCTCTCCCTCCCTGCTGCTCTGCATCCCCGTGTCCCCATCCACCCCCTGCCTTGGGGCCAGGCCCGGCCATTCCCCCCCCACCCTGGCCCTCCCCATCTCTCTCTGGAGCAGCGCAGTTTCCGGAGCTGCCCCCTCGCATCCCAGCCTTCCCTGGCGACTGCCATCCCCAAATGGTTCCTATGGCAACCCGCGTCAGCCTTGAGTCAGTGATGGGGGTTACTATAGCGACGCGGTCCTGCTCTCTGCGAGAGTAGCTGCTTGCCGTGACGCCATGGGGAGCTGCTGCCTGTGTCCCCCCCTCCCAACCCCCAGTCCCCGTGTCACTGC